CAGGAAGATGCGACGAGAAAACAAACCGAAACTGGAGTGGGTGAGGTTAGGGCAGCGAATATGACTTTGAGCGAATTAAGGTGCTACAGTTGCGGCGACAAGGGTCACATTGGGAAGAACTGCCCCGGTAAAGGAAAGGGGAAAATGTGCTACAAATGTCACAAGTATGGGCACATCAGGTTCGAATGTCATGAGTCGGGTGAGTTAAATTACAAGCCAGAGTCTGTACCTAGGTTAAATTATTCACGTGGTAGAGGAGGTTTTCGTGGATCTGGGAGGGCATTTGCTTCATTGAAGAGGAAAATAGAAAATAAGGACGAGACTTGGTCAGGAAATGTGAAAAGGGGTAGATTCGACAGGACGAGGGGCAGGGGAGGCTATGGATCCTGAAACTACAATGCTCAATTGAAGGCAGGCAAGAAGGAGCAGAATAAAGAGTCAGGAGCAAATAATAAGAATAAGGGTAAGTCAATTATGTTCAAAACTAATAATTTATGCAAAGGCAATGCCATAAACCCAGATGTAAAAATTCAGGAAGACGGGTTTATCACAAAGTTTCTAGCTGACTCTGGGGCAACCGAACATTTAACAAATTCAAAATTGATATTTAAATCAATTGATGAAAGAAGTAAAGGAGTGATTAAATATGCTAATAAAAATGAAAATGCAGATTTAAGAACGGAGGGAGTGGGTGAGATCGAAATATAACTGTTAAAGGGTCAGTGTTGAGGCTTCAGCCTCACGTCACGGCAGGTTGATCCACTGACCACGAGCGGCAGCTCCTCCTGGACACGGACCTGGGTTAGCGACCGTGTCCAATTAATTGGGACCGACGACACCTGCCGCGACACTTGGCCCATCTCGTCACTTCCGCCGTCTTCTCTAATCGCCTTGTGACAAGCGTCCATCGTGCAATTCTCTATGCGATTAAATCGTTATTTTATTGTGAACATCTCAACCGTGAAAATTCTCTAACGTCTCTTGCGTCAATTATTAATTGACAGTGATTATTTTTTTGTAAATATTTTTGACGAGCTGTATATATTTTATCGAAAACATATATTTTTATTTGTGACTCTACCCACGCGCACAATGACTGTTATTTTATTGTGAACTTCTCTACCTTTCCCCGAATCCCGGCTCTCTATCGGTTTTTTTGACTAATTCTCGCCGAAACATTTGGTCCTTCGAGCCGGATAATCGGGAAAAGTGAACATTGTTTTTTCAGGAAAACTTTAGTGCGCGTGGTGTCGGTGAAAAAGCGCGGGAATCTGTGTGTCGTCTCCACCCCCTTTGCTCCACCCACCGACTCCGCCCATTGACTCCTACGCGGCTCCTCCTTCGTGACGTAGCAGGGCAGTGGTGCTCATCTCAGACTTTTGACATTTGTGGGCGCCACTGAATTATGGGACTCCAGCAGTGACACTCAACCTGGGGCACCCTGATATTTTCTCCAGCACTTCAGAAGCAGATTTTTTTGTTCTTCTCGCTGTTTGCTGAAGTTCTACGACCATCACTGCTGCCATTGGACCTTCTCACAGGGAAGTCAATTATTATGATTATTATTTTTCGCTACTGATTTTCCCTGAACTTTGCTGCTGTTTTTGTTTGATTTCAATTTTGTTTCGCTATTGGCTGTGCTTTCTCCACTGTTGCGTTCTCTACGATTTTTGTTGTTTGGTGCTTTCTCTGCTTACTGAATTTGTATTTGCTATCGGGTGAGTATGTCTTTCGTAGGGAGAATTTTTATTCAAGCCAGTAGGGCAAAGTATATTGAGTCTCTCTATAAGGAATCATCGTCAGCGGCATTGAAGGAGCTCTCAGTCACGGAGTTGCAGTCGAAGCTGGATATTTTGGAGAATTATTGGAGCCAATTCGAGGACCAGCACGTGAGACTGCTCACTGGTAAGGATAGCGTGGAGGTGCTCGAGCACGATTACGTGAAGCAGGGAGTATATGATATCTGTCTACAGCGATACTCCATGGCTCGAACGTCGTTCATTGGACAAATCAAGTCCATTGATGAGACCGTGGACCTCTCGGAGTCGTTTCGTCGACCCGCTGCATCAGCTCCGTCTGCTCAGGTGGCTCAAAGGCAGTTGCCAAAGATCTCGCTGCCTACCTTCTCAGGGGACTTCTCCGAGTGGACACCATTCAAAGATCTTTTCCTCTCGATGGTCGTCGGCAACAATAACCTCTCTACGGTCGAGAAATTTCATTATCTTTTGACTTCTCTTGCTGGCGAGCCAAAACAGTTGATCTCAACTCTGCCAGTAGCTCAAGACTCATTCATTCCAGCCTGGGATATGCTTATCGCGAGGTATGATAATGAACGTCTCCTCATCTCTACCCAGCTGGAAAGGTTGTTCTCCACTCCGAGGATCGTCAACCGTTCGGCCAAGGAGTTTAATGCTTTCCTCAACTCCACCACCGAAGCTCTCAACGCCCTGAAGTCGTTGGGGCGCCCTGTCGAGCACTGGGACGACGTCTTGGTGCATATCATCTCAAGCCGGTTGGATGTTAAGACGTTAGAGGCGTGGGAAGTTAAGATCGGATCCACCACTACCTTTCCAACGTACGCGGAACTCAGGGAGTTTTCTGTTGAGCAGAGCAAGAGCTAGGGAGAGAATTGAGCTGCATCCTCTGCACGGTCCCAAGACGCCAACTTCGAATGTATCCTCTCAGCCACCCAGAGCGAAGCCAGCAAAGGTGCTGAATGTCTCAACTGGCAGTGCGGGTCCACAGGCTCGCGGATCGAGTTCGCCGTCACGGGCAGACATGACCGCCAATGCCTGGTCCATGTGTGAAGATGAGCATTTCATCGATAGGTGTCCCAAATTCAAGCAGTTGTCGCCGGAAAAGAGGAAGGAGTTTGTCGAAAAGAAGTACCTCTGCTTCAACTGCTTGGGGAAGCACTCCATTCGTGCCTGTAGGACCACGAAGACGTGCGTTGTGTGTCACAAGCGTCACCACTCGATGATCCACATCACACGCCCTCAGAATGGTCCTCTGGAGACAACCAGACCAGTTGAAGTCTCAAGATCAGTAGTCTCAGTCTGGTACTTGTCCTATACAGTCCGCTGTTCCGGGGCCTTCATCAGTCCAGCAGTGATCTTCTCAACCAACGACTTCATCGACAGCGACTCCGGTAATTTCAGAACGTTCTCTACGGCCGTCGCTGTCCAGTGATTCTCCATCAGTAGCATTATCAGTTCATGAATTGTCATCTCAACTCAGACCAGGTGTTCTTCTCGCAACAGCGCTAGCTTCTCTCGTTTCAGAGAATGGATTTTACTGTGAAGTTCGGATGCTGTTGGATCCTGAATCTGAGTTATCATTTGTTACAGATAGTCTTGCGGTAAAGCTAGGTTTGTTGAAGTCTCCAGCTTTGCTACCTGTCGTTGGTATTGGTGGATCAAGGTCATTCTGAAAGGAATTCTCTCAGTTCTGTCTGACGTCTCTGCACTCAGACAAACATCTTCAGATTAAGGCCTACATTCTTGACCATCTCATATCATCGTCGCCGTCGTTCTCAGTCTCGGATACTCAAGCTTGGGGCCATCTCGAGGGACTGAAGTTAGCTGATCCGAAATACATGGAGCCAAGACCTATTGACCTTCTCATTGGCGCGGATTTCTTCGGATCAATTGTGGAGCCACAGATCATCAAGGGGCCTTCAGACTCCCCTATAGCAATGCACACTATCTTCGGTTGGGTGGTACTAGGACCTACTTCAGCGGTGATTCCAATGGTGGCCAGCTCTAATCACATTGCAGTCAGCAACGAGGAACTCTACGACCTTCTCACATCGTTCTGGCTGCAGGAGGAGGTCCCAAAAGCCGGGGATAGTGATCTCACGAAAGAAGAAGCAGAATGTGAGGAGTTTTTCCAGCGCACCCATTCACGAGACAGCTCAGGGCGCTATGTGGTTCGCCTGCCTCTTGCACGTTCTCCGACAGAGCTTGGCGACTCTTATGGTCGGGCTAAAGCGTGTCTCTCCAGCCTGTTCCGGAGAATGGAGAGGGATCAACGGACCCTTCAGCTATATAGTGTTTTTCTCAAGGAGTGTTATGCGCAGCAATTTGTCAACGTGTTGTTGCTCGGATGAGGAGGAAACCAGGTGAAACTCTCGTGGATGCACTCAGCCCTGATGGCATCGAGGCAGCTAGGCTGTATTGGGTCAGAGCCACTCAGGCTCATTATCTGCAGTCGGAGTACAGCATGATCTATTGTGGTCAACAACTTGGAAGATCTCATCCGTTGACCAAACTGACTGAAGAGATTGAAGTTCTCTAACCTGCACCCAGAGAGTAAACAACAAGCGATCGTCCCTAAAGATTCCGAGCTGGCTGAACTTCTCATTAGGGACTCTCATCAGCGAACGTTGCATGGTGGAACTCAACTCACGTTGGCACATCTCAGGAGGTCTTACTGGATTATGAGAGGAAGAGCGCCAGTAAGATCCTTCATTCTCAAGTGCGTGGAATGTGCCCGCCAACGTGGAGTACGTGCTCAGCAACTGATGGGGCAGCTTCCACCGGCATGTCTGTCTCCAGGTCGTGCTTTCTCTAACACTGATGTGGATTACNGGATTATTGGAGGAAGAGCGCCAGTAAGATCCTTCATTCTCAAGTGCGTGGAATGTGCCCGCCAACGTGGAGTACGTGCTCAGCAACTGATGGGGCAGCTTCCACCGGCATGTCTGTCTCCAGGTCGTGCTTTCTCTAACACTGATGTGGATTACGCCGGACCAGTGTCGATCAAGACGTGGAAGGGGCGTGGTCATAAGACCTAAAGGGGGTGGTTAGTGATCTTCGTGTGTATGGCCACGTCTGCTCTCCACTTGGAAGCTGTCACAGATTACTCTGCTGATGGGTTTATCGCTGCCTATCGGAGATTCGTGAGTCGTCGAGGTCGTTGCAGGAACCTCTTCAGTGATTGTGGAACTAATTTCGTTGGTGCTGACAAGGAGCTGAAGAGGTTGTTCTCCGCTNAAATAGATGTGTATAAGAGACAGACCTGGGGCCCCTCATTTTGGAGGAAAATGGGAAGCAGCGGTCAAATCAGTGAAGTATCATCTCTCTCGAACGATTCGGGATACTACACTGACGTTTGAGGAACTCTCTACGCTGCTTACCCAGATTGAAGCCGTGCTCAACTCCAGACCTCTACAGGCTCTCTCTGAAGAACCCGACGACGTGTTGTGTCTCACTCCGGGCCATTTTTTGATTGGAGAAGCTCCAATAGCTCTACCGGAACCTTCCCTGGACCATCTCAACGTTGGACGGCTCTCAAGATGGCAACTGATTCAGCAGAGGCTGCAGTATTTCTGGATGCAGTGGTCTACAGGATACCTGCTGCAACTTCAGACCATCTTCAAGTGGCATCATCCGTCCAACGACATTCGCATCGGCTCTATGGTTCTGCTCTCCGATGAGAGGTTCCCGCCAGCGAAGTGGCCTCTAGCTCGGGTCACAGCTCTACACCCTGGGAAGGATGGTCTCTCCAGAGTTGTGACCATCAGGACAGCAATGACGACATTGACTCGGCCGATCTCCAAGCTGGTTCCGTTGCCAATCTCTACCAGCTGATTTTGAAGCTGGTCTCTGTTGACATTGTTGATCTTCTCTGTTTAGTGTTTCAGGCTCTATCATGGCTTTCTCGAGAACCTGGTCACCAACAAGTTGCTGACGGGGGGAGAATGTTGAGGCTTCAGCCTCACGTCACGGCAGGTTGGTCCGCTGACCACGAGCGACAGCACCTTCTGGACACGGACTTGGGTTAGCGACCGTGTCCAATTAATTGGGACCGACGACACCTGCCGCGACACTTGGCCCATCTCGTCACTTCCGCCGTCTTCTCCAATCGCCTCGTCACAAGCGTGCATCGTGCAATTCTCTAAGCCATTAAATCGTTAATTTATTGTGAACATCTCAACCGTGAAAATTCTCTAACGTCTCTCGCGTCAATTATTACTTGACAGTGATTATTTTTTTGTAAATATTTTTAACGAGCTGTATATATTTTATAGGAAATATATATTTTTATTTGTGACTCTACCCACGCGCACAGTGACTGTTATTTTATTGTGAACTTCTCTACCTTTCCCCGAATCTCGGCTCTCTATCGGTTTTGTTGACTAATTCTCGCCGAAACAGTCAGAAATTTAAGATAAACGAAGTCTTGTTTGCAGATGCTCTTCAAGCTAACTTGGTGTCATTAAGACGATTTGCAGAAATGCGTCTCGCGATTTATCTAGATGACAAACGAATAGTCATTTTCAATCCAGAGTCAAACGAATTATTTATTTCCGGTGTGTATAGAAAATAAATACTGGATAGTCGAGTTGGAAATAAATGAACAAAGTCAAGTCAATAAAAATGTACAAAGACATGTGAACAGAAGAGTTATAGTTAACATGGTAGATAATAATGCAGAAATAAAAAGACAGATGACTAGAAGTGTTACAGCAAGGTTAAATGAAGAATCAAACAAAAATAATTCAATTGAAAATAATGACAGGAGCAAGGATTTGCTAAACGAAGTTAAAAATAATGAACTGGATGAGGTAGAGACTAGTGAAAGTTTAGAAATTGAAATTGTGTCTAAACCGGCTCTTGATCAACATGTACAATCAAACTTTGATTTTTCAATTTCAGACAGAAATTTAAATAATGCAGATGAAATACGATTTGAAACTAGTACTGAAAGTTTTGATACCTTTACAGACGAAAAAGATAAAATACAAGGAAATTATAAAGCCTTGCTGTGGCACGCCAGATTTGGACATGCGTCAATAGCGTATCTCAAAGCCATTCAATTAAAATTTCCCAATAATAAAGAATCAAAGGATGTGATGTTTGACGAGTCCCTTTTGGATTATGAGGTTTGTATGGCGTCAAAATTTAACAGATTGCCATTCCCCAAAGTAAGAAATCGAGCAACTGAACCTTTGCAAATAATACATTCTGACGTGATGGGACCAATAACCCCAGCCTCACATCCGAAAGGATACAGGTTTATATCAGTATTCATATATGACAAATCCAGATTCGCCATGGCGTATCCAATGAAAACTAAAAGTCAAACTGGTCAGTGTTTAGAAATGTTTATTAGGAGTGATAGAAATCTACTGGGTCATGATGCGAAGGTTTGTTATCTTAGGTCAGATCAGGGTACTGAATTTACTGGAGGTCAGACAATCGAAGTGTTGAAGGATTTGGGTGCAGAGTTACAGTTGGCAAGTCCTGACACTCCTGAACATAATGGGGTCGCGGAACGGTTTAATCAGACCATTCAGAAAAAGATTCGAGCGTATATGTTTGATGCGAAATTACCAGAGCACATGTGGGATCTGGCTCTGTCCGCTGCTGTATACGTGTACAATCGAACTCCTCACAAATCAAATGAGATGAAAACACCACTGGAAGAGTTTGCACCAGGACATAGTTTCGAAATTAATCAAATTAAAAGATTCGGCAGTTTAGCGTACATGAAAGTCCAGAGGAAAACTGGACCGAAATTCAGGGCAGTAGGTATGAGGGGTGCCTTGGTAGGATATATACCTACGGGTTATATTCTGCTAAGACCCGAGGATGGAAAATTCTGTGAAAGTAGATATGTGAGATTCAATGAAAAGAAAGTCTATAGTGATAAATATGGTGGAAGTGAAATTGAGGTTTCTCCTGATGCTCAAGAAGTAATAAATAAAAGTGATTGGTTTGTAGTCTTTGATAAGAGTGAGAATGATCTGGAAGGGGTATTAAAATCGGAGGGAGTATCTAAGAGGAAAAGAGGTAGACCTAAGAAGGTACACCCAGGGTCAGAAATAAAAGAACAAATTAAATCATCTAGCGAAAGAGATCTCCCGAAATTACCAATTGATGAGAACTTGAATTCAGAATTACTTTTGGCGTGTTTATCACAGGGTGAGGATGAAATAGGCTTGGACAATTTAACTGACGAGATATGTCATGCTCTTCTGGCTGACATAAATTCAGATCCGATAAGTTTTAAAGAAGCTATGCAAAAAGTAGACAAGAATGACTGGGCTGCAGCAGTAGAGGACGAGTTAAATTCAATGGATAAAAATAAAGTCTGGAAAATCGTAGATAGACCCATCAGTAACAAAATAGGTCAGAAAGCTAATATAATTGATTCAAAATGGGTATTTAAACGTAAACTAGAAGCAGCCGGGAAAATAAGACATAAAGCCAGACTAGTCATTCGAGGGTTTAAAGATCGAAATGTTAACGAATTACGAGAGACTTATGCACCAATATCAAGAATGAATTTGGTCAGGGCCGTATTTGCAATTATTAACAAATATGATGTGAAACATGTCAACTAGATGTAAAGACGGCATTCTTAAATGGTGAAATCGACGAGGAAATTTACATGGAGATTCCTGAGGGAACTCCACATTCGGATCTGGATAGGAAGATGAAAGTCTGTAAGTTGGAAAGGTCTCTCTATGGACTTCGAATAAGCCCAAAACGTTGGAACAGAAAGTTCACTGAAGTTGCTCTTAGCGTTGGTCTTGTTAACTCTGATCTGGAGCCTTGCTTGTTTACTTGGAGTCTTGATAATAAACTTTTGGTCTTGCTGTTGTATGTCGACGATATTGTAATGGCAAGCAATGATAAAAGTAAACTTGAAGAAGTTAAAACAGCCTTGAGTTATGCATTTGAAATGACCGTGTTAGGTGAACCTAAAGAATTTTTGAATATATCAATTAAACGCTATCGCGCAAGCGAAATTCTTAAACTGAGTCAAGAACATTATGTACAGAAATTATTAATTAAATATGGATTTGAGGATTCCCATCCTCAAACAACTCCAATGTTGACAACACAGGCGTCTAACCGCGAGCGAAAACAGAGAGAGCATTATGTTGATAGTGAGATTTTTGTTCCACGAAATGAAAAAATGAATTGTCCATATAGAGAGGTTGTTGGTTTCGAGAATTCCGCCACCTGTACGAGATTTCACCGTAAGATCGGAAAACTGCGAACTTTCGACCAAGTAAATTGTAAGGAGAGAGAGTAACGAGGGTGAGTAAATAATTTTAAGAGAGAGAGAATCGCGTCATATTCCCTCCCCTGAAGGTTAGCACCCCTGTCGAAGGGAGATGCAACATTCCTAATCTTTAGCTCGAATCTTGGATATCGATCATCAGAACAACCGGACATCAACATCCGCGGGGGAATAACGTTCGATTCTTTAAAACCAGTAAATTTACGTGTCGATCCACGATAAAAACGAGTAAAAATAAAATATTCAGTTGAATTAAAAACAAATAGTTAAATTTTAGATGTGTCGAGGTAATTTCCAGTTTAGTTTCGGATTGAGGGATTACGGTTAGAGTCATTACGGTTTAGGTAAATTTACAGTCAAATGTATTTACCGGTTGAATAGATATTTTGTTAGTTTCGCAAATTCTGAGTGGAACGAGTCTCCACCGTGGATCGTGGCCGATAGACTGAGCCTCCCGGTGAGATATCGTATTTCCGTTGAGAGTTAGTTGGTGATTATCGAGGTTGAGCTGAAACGCTCACGCTCCCTAGCTTACGCGTTTCGTGGGGTTATTGGGCTCACTGGTACGGTTGGAAGACCCTGTGGGTGAATTTAGGCCTCTCGCCTGCATGGATTGCCATGGCCCATTTTAGATTTACGGTTTTGTTAGAGGTGATTCCCCCATAACTCCCGGGAGAGTGACAGCTACGAAATATGCACTCACTCAGTGAAAAGTGCATTCGTGTTGATAAAAGGTGAACAACCGCCTATATTTTCCCCTCAATCCGAGTTTCGGTCGTTTCGTTTAGTAAATTCCGGTTAAAATTCAGTTTCAAACAATCTTCAGTCAAAGGAGATAAAGTGCCAGCCACATAAAATTATAAATTATCTTAAGACTCCATATTTGGAGTTTAAATTTGAATTAACGTCCCCGCGCGCGAGTTCCCACCGACTGCAGAAGTAACTCGCCGGCGACGGTTTATACGGTGCCTCAGTCGCCCGTCGTCACACGAGAATCTCAGTCGAACGCTGGAGTCAGCCGCAGTTCCGCCATCGTCCAAGTCGCCGCGCTTTTGGAGAAGCTAAGGAAAAGACGCCGAGAGGACTCCCGTGGAACCTGGATTGGAGGAAAAATGGTAAGGATACCCTCTGACCCCAAGTGCACACTCCCAGAAGGGCAGTAGTGCAGATTTTCCCCGAAAATCCGTAGGAGGACCATGGGAGGCGAATGCACATGCTACGGCATCACTGAATGACGGCATCGTGCCCTCTCCGAAAACCCCGTATTTGTCGAACGATAAGTGCACCCATGGAGTGCACAATCGGTTCGCAAATACTCTCTCTATTCCTGGGAAGTGATTGTGTAGTGATAAGTGAGGAAAATCATGAATAAAATAGGGTTATGCGTCCATGCATGCTCTCCACGTGGTGTGGATCCAGCTGTGGTGCTGTTTTGCATGCTTTTCATTGCTCGGACGGATTGTCGCCTCATTTGGGAGCGCTTTTCGTTCCGTAGCCTTTTCCCCTGATATTTTATTTCCATAATACCGATCTCTGGTCGAATAGAAGCTCGTGGGCTCCCTATAATTGAAGCGACGCCACGAGGCTTCTGGTCGAGAGGGAATTCGAGAATGTAAACTGAGGGCACCTTGCGAGTGCCTATTCCATTTCTCGAGTTTTCTCCTTCAGTCAATATTCATCTTCTCGTTAATTCCTCGTCGCTAGCGGTTCTCGTACATGTATGGATCCCCGTACACGCCAGTTCCGGTT